ACACACACACACACACACACACACACACACACACACACACACACACACGCAGACAGCAGGAGTCAGGAGGACAGCCACAGTCTCCGCAGCTACCAAACCCAGATCCCCAGCCCAGGTCCGCCTGCGAGCTGGCACACTGACCCCTCAGCGCCTTCTCTCCTCTCCATTACTCTGAGGGACCAGGAGGATCCAGGAAGGAATGCCTGCTCCTTGTCACCAGGGATGCCGGCACAGAAGCTGGCAGCTGGATGGGACTCTCGCACCATGGGACTACAAAGCGGAGAATTGCACACCTCCTTCTAAGAGCAATGTCTAAAACTGCACTGACACCAAATCAGATAAATTAAACTGCTGTCGCACTAACAATGAACACACAGTCTGAAACTAGAATTAGTATCAGGGAAAGGAAAAGTTTCTGCAAGTAACTTTATGTGTGCCACAAATTTAACTCATTTATGATAATAGTAAATCTAATTGCACAAAAGGAGGTAATTTTCTGCATTCCTGGAGTGTTTCCCAAGAGTGAAGAAATGAAAAGCTTTTTGTGTAATGTGTGTTTATTTATGGAAAGGAACCAAAGAAAGACAACAAAAAAGTATCCAATTGGGTTTTTTTGCTCATTTTAATACCACTGCTTATACACACTAGGTTTTTTGTTTTGTTTTGTTTTGTTTTTAACTGAAATCTTTCTTTTTAACCCCTTTGACTCTTTTTGTATGGTTTAAAACAGTATGTAGTTTTCTAAATTCAGGTAATATTGGCTTTCTGGAGCCAAACACAGTTTTAGAATTTTACCTTCAAAAAAATCTACTGATGGCTCTTACTACCGTGAAAAAGAACCTCTCAAGGGGGATTCCCTTCTTTGCAAGCATGATCTGTATAGACTGGAAAAAAAAAACAAAAACCACGAATTCCTTCAGCTGTCATTACAGCAGTGGAAACCACAGACCCGTGATCCCCACACTGTCCCCCCAGGCAGGCGCCCAGTGCTGACTACTGCAGCCTGCTGCAGGCCTCAAGTGCTCACCTAAAAGCGGGTCATTAAGGTTTAAGGGACATGAATTTAATGCTAACTGCTGAGGGGATGAGATGGCAAATGCTAAGAACTATGTGACATGTTTTTTTTTCTTCATATGCCCTATGTTTCAAAGATGACACAAGCCATGCTTACAGGTGCTACTTATTTGTGAGCACTCAAAGCACAGCTTGAAGGAACATTTTACACAACAGCCAAAGCACCCCACCCCTTCTGCTACCTTCCCTGAGTCCTGGCAGTAGAATGGGCTCCCTGGGCAGGGCCACGGGAGGAGCCACCACCTGGCCGGGGCCTGCCTGTCCCAACAAAATATGCCTGTTGCCAGGAAGCAAGGGTGGGAACCCATCCAACTCCTTGCCTGACCCCTGTTCCAAGACCTGATGCCTGCCATACCTCGATAATCACACCTGTCTTACTCTGAAAATGAAAATGTGATACACTTATTTTGGGAGCTAAGTTACCATCTGAAACATGAAACCATGATGTCATCAGCTGTACAAAAGCTAAAGGCTGGTTCTGGAAAATAAGCGAGCCAACTGTACTCAGGTACAATGTGTTCTGGGCAAAATCCCTCACTGCTTCTAAGAATGAATTCATCGTTTTCTCAAAAACAACAACAAAAAGATTTTTAAGGCAGGCCTCATATTCAATAACATATAAGCAAAAACACATTAAGAATAATTTGGTTCTTTTTTCATGTCACTTAAAAGACTGAAAAGTAATGGATACAGAATTATCCAGATTGAGTGAGAACAAAGTCTTGGGTGTACAGAACACGCCCTACGTACTACTTACCAGATCCAGTGCGGAGCCACCACCAAGATACTCCATTATTATCCACAATTTCGTATCCTACACAAAGAAAAACAAAAAAGGAAGGAATTACTTTTAAAATAGAAGCAGAAAAAATATTTTACATAACTGGAGAGAGTTTGTCTGTGCTATTTCAACTCTAGAAAGCGCCATAAACTCACATCAGGATGGACAGTGAGTAGGGGTAAGGACACCATACACACAGCGCATCGGCCTCCAACAGCTGGGGGCAGCAAGGGTGGTGGACCCCTGCTGCAGACCAGAGCCTCACAGAGGGACAAAGACTCTCCTATCGCTAGACCACCTCCTGATGAGCCTCGGGTAGAGGAGGGCTTGAGAACTTGCTGCCAAGTCAAGCCCAGAACACCTTTAAGTAGGCAATGATGGGGAGCGAGGCGCCTCGTGCTGGGCCTGCAGCTCTGAATGCCTACTGGGCCTGGAGGGCAATGCAATGCACCTGGGAATGGGCCACCCAATGTGGTGCACCAATCTGTTTGCTGTGCACAACGGCAGCCAATTTCCAGCACCTCCAAAGGCCCGGCACTCTCCCTCCAGGGAGCTTTCCAGAAACCTAGCACTGTGCTACAAGCACCACCCTTTGGATACAGAAGGACCACAGTACTTAAAGCTGCATCTTCGTTGCTTACTCCAGACTTTAGAGCAGCTACATATTCATTGAAAAAAGAAAGTGGAAGAAAAGCAAGAGGTTCCTTTCTGAAGCTCTGCAGATGTCCTGAAGGAGGACAGCACAGCCAGGCAGGGTGGTCCACACCTGTGATCCCAGCACTTGCGAGGCTGAGGCAGGAAGATCGAGGTGAATTCAAAGACTGCCAGTGGAAGCCCCACCCTGATCCCCCTGTGGTTCTCTCAACACAGACAAGAGCTGAGCTTGTTCTGGAATGTGTTCCAATTGCCCAGACTTTTTTGTTTTTGCAGTTCCTCAAGTCAGGAAAGTTCACAGTCTTCCTGCTCCTTGCCCCAAACAGACTACTTTATCAAGCATAGGTCTGACGTTCCTCTTGGATTTCTGTCTCTGCACTGCCCTTAACAGCTCGCTCGAGCTAAGACACACAGTCTTAGGCCTTTGTGCTCAAGGAAAGGCCACCGGGCAGACTAATACTCACTTAGGGAGGCACTGGCACAAGCACTGCGTCTGTGAAAGAAACTCTTAACAATGAAGCCAAAATCTGCTGCGTGGAGTTAATTCTAAGACAGCTCAAATGAATAGTCCGGGTTCTAATGTATGCAGAATCCTTTCTCAAGTTTTTCACTGCCCTGGATCACTAAGAGCACGGAGCTGGGCAGCTCAGAGCCTGGACGATGGGCTCAGGACCTACATGACAGGTACAGAGCGGCCTGCTTCTGACTTCCAGAGTACTTATTTCCTATCAGAGAGCATCCTGCAGTGCTCCTCCACTCATCATGAAGGTGCTGGCCTGCAGGTTTCTGGGTCTCTAACTTGCTGGTGAAGGTGTGGCCACTCCTTCTGGGCATTTCAAGAGCATCCTATCTGAAGGCCAGAAGTAAACCTTTCCACACAAGGCCAGTTTCTTTCCAGATGACACAGGAAATGTGTTGTTTTTCTTTGAGAGACGTTGGAACTTTCGATTTCTACTCCCACTGCCTTGTATTTGGCTTCAGCTGGACTCAGCTCTGAAACCTCTGGTTTTCAGAGCACTAAGTTTACTACCAGCAGATAGATGCTCAGCAAGGTGGGAATGCCCTGTAGCCCCTCCCTCTACCTCTCCCTCTCAGCAGCTAGGGGTTTAATGAAACCGTGGGACATCTGCTAACTTAGGGACTCAGCACCAGGAAATAAAACACAAGCGACTATGCCCGTCCTCAGCATTCCAGAGCTCCACCCTTCTCTCTTCCCACACCCACTACTGAGGCTACCCACCAGGAAGTAAAATAAGCATCCAGTCCTCCAAATTCTGCTTTTCAAGGGACAGGACGGGGGGATACATATATATATATATATCCCTGGGCACACTTTTCTTTGGATTAAACAGCCAACGGCAGAGGCCAGGGCCAGAACCCAACCTTCTCCAACAAAGGCCTCTTCTTTCCTGGTGAGGAAGAGCAGGTACAAGACCAGCCCTGCCATTTCTCTCCAGCTCCTCCCGGGGAGCAGATAGGTTGGGTGGGGACACTGCCCAAACACAAGCCCCACCTCATTCCGGGGCACCTGGGAAACGCCTCAAGCCCTTATTCGGGTCACTGATTAAGTACCTGTCCCTACTCCCTCCCCAGCCAACCCCCAAGGCTCCACGGAGGCAACAAGCAGGGAGAGAGTGCAAGGGGGGTCAGCTGGACAGACACCTGAGGCAAAGTGACAAAGGCCAAAGCTTTCTAAGGAGTGGGAAGTCACAGAGGGTTATCAGCAGGGCAGAGATGCGGAGAACCCCCTTACCGGCCACCTCCCACAGGCAACCACACACTGCTCCTGTGTCACTTGCCTGAGGATTCCCCGCATCCTCGGCTCTCCTCTCAGGTCCAGGGTAGCCTGAAGCTGTGGGTTCTGCCCTGCTCCTCCCCTCCTGGCCAGAATTGTTCCCAACCATCTCCCCGTCAATGGTTTCTCTGCTCAGATTAGATTGAGACTAGGATGGGTGGAACTGTCTGTCCAGGGCTGGCACCCTAAGGCCTGCACCTCACAGGCAGGCCAGAGGTCCCCACCCCAAATAATCACACCCACCACCACCAACCCTGAAAGGAGAGTGGCTGAGAGGGTACAGTCACCCTTGCGGATGAGCCCTCCCGAGGTGCTCACGTCCCTTCTATAAAGTGGAGTGCTTGCCTATAACCTCCACGCGGCCGTCTGCCCACACACTCTACCTCCCTCATCTCGGGTCATTTACAACAGTGAACAATTGTAAGGCCATGCAGACAGGTGTGTGCACTGTTCAGAGGAAAATGACAAGGGAAAGGCTGTGTATGCTCAGCGCAGACAAAAGCCCCATCCCCAACATTTCCAAACCACTGCTGGTTGAATGTGCAGGTATGAACCCAGAACATAGGGGGTACACTCAGCAGACCTCCCAGCTTGTTTTCCAGGATTTGGGTTACCAGTGGCCCACAGACATAAGTATTTGTCTTGACTCAGGACAGAGAGTAACCACATTCATGTAACTCTTTGTCACAGTACGATGTTTCGACTGTTTTATTGGTAGTTATTGTTAGTCTCTTACTGAGACTATCAGTTAAACTTCACCAAGCATATGTGTGCACTGCAAACAATGCTGTGTGTACGCGGACCTTGGAGCAGGTAAGGAGATCCACTGTACACTGGAGCTCCAGCCGGAAGACTACTACCATCATCCCTATGGCACATGAGGCCAGTTACTTAAACACTCAAGCTTCGAATTCCTCACCCATAAGTAAATAGATGATAACAAGCCAGGCACAGTGGAACACACCTATAATCTCAGCATCTAGGGAGGCTGAGGCTCAAGAATCAAAAGTTCAAGTCCAGCCTAGATAACCTAAATTGCTAATAAGACCCCACCTCAAAATAAAAAATAAAAAAGGGCTGGGTATAGCTCAGTGGGAAAGCCCTGGCTTCATTTCCCAGCAGGAAGGAGAAGGGATACTTCAAACCTCACAAGTCACGCGACAGTAAAATGAGATCATGAAGTAAAAGCACCTCGTAAAGTTCAAGGAGCTGCACCAATACAAAGCACCCTGAGCTTTATCAGCATGGTGCCCATAAATGCCCTGAAATAACCTAGTAAAACTAAATCGGCCTAATTAACAAGACTCAACAGTTTCTGGGCAAAAGTAAACCTGGAACAGGATTCATGCGCACCCTGCACTGAGGCGAGAGTGCCAGGGAAGGGAAGCCTGGCCAGGCTGCTCGGAGGCAGGGCCACGTGTGTCATCTCCAGACGGAGCTGGAGGACCAGGGTCCTCCTCACTCAGCCTTCCCAGGGATGACTTGGGGTCGTCAGAACCTTTAAACAAAATGTTTTTTTCTTTGTTTAAGAAAGGGTCTTGCTATGTAATCCAGGCTGCCCTTGAACTCCCTACACTGCCCACGATGGTCTCCAACTCACTGTCTCCTGCCTCAGCCGCCCAAGTTACGGGATTACAGGCACCCTTCTCCTACCACAGCTGGCATCAAAAATGATTCTAACCAGAAAAAAATTTTAAGTGATCTCAATAGAAATTATGAATGACCTCGTGATATACTTTTCTCAGGAGGAAAATAACATTTAATTAATAAATTAATTCCGGAGTCAAAATGTTCAAAGGAGACCGAAATGTACAGTGAGAAGGAGAAGCTCCCCTCCCACCCTGGGCCCTATCCCCAGTTCTCACAGACTCGTACGCAACCTCACAGCAACTCTTTACACACACATAAGCAGATTCCTGCAACATCATCTCCCATCTTTTGCCCCAGTGGCAAAATTCCACACTGTGGTTTGTCTCGCTTTTTCCTGAAACTTGAGAGAAGAGCTTTTGTTTGGCCAGGGCGTTACCACCAACACATTCTCCTGCTGACAGGGGCCGGGTGTGCACGGCCATCCTCACAGCTGTCGCCGCCTGGAGGAGAACTGCTGGGCGGGGGACCCATCTGAATGCTGACAGATACTGACAACATATGGGTGTTCATTCCCCATCCTTGGCCATTACAGGTGGTCACGCTTTTACCATTACTTTATGACTCAAATTGTGTTCCTCCTTCACCAACACCAAACACAGTCTAAGACCCTGGCCCTCGGCATCTCAACTGGAGAGTCTTTAAAGAAGTGGTGACTAAACTATAGCAAGTATTCAGGATAGACCCTAATCCCTTCTGACTGGTTCTTTCTTAGCTTTTGTCATTGCTCCTCTGTCTCATGGAGCTGCATTTTCTTAAGGGACTCATCCAGTACACTGCACACTGACCGAACACCAAGCCGGTGAGAAGTATGAAAAGATCTAATCTAGATTCTTAAAAAGCCCCACCACCACCACCATCATTACTGGGAATCCAACCCAGCCGTTCTACCACTGAGCTCCATCCCTCACCCTTTTTCGTTCCTGTTTCTGAGGCA